CCCATAGACAGAACCTGCGAAGGCGCAGAGCTGCGCTCATGGCGCGACACTCTCCCCGTGATTGGGCTCACCTTTTTTGTGGTTCCCTTAATATCGGCGCGCTGGTGGTACCTGCTGTACGCGCGAGAAAGGGCAGAGTGTGCCTCCGTTTTGTGAATTGTCTTTCTTTCTTTTTTGAGTTATTCTCCCAATTATATTTTGAATTACATTTTGCATGTTGCTTTGATTTTATTTGTTTACATTCTGAACCCATTTGAACCATTCTTCCCTTATAATTTTGTGAAAACATTTTGCTTTAACATTTGTTTGCAAAATGCTGTATACGTAGGCGGGTGCCATTGGAGGTGGTAGATAAGTATGGGCGCCCATGGGCGAGTAGGATGAGACATCATCCACATCAACTGCGTTACACCCCGTAAAGTAACAAACAGCGGTGAAGGATGTATGGGAGATGGCACGGAATTGGCTACATTTTGAGCCGATAGATACACTTGGACAAAGTGCGCCCGGGAGGTAACTACTTCATCTCATCATTAACTTTACAAATTGATGACTGGGAGGAGAATCTGTTTTGATACATACTAAGGTACGTTTCTTAAGATAAAGACATGGAGGGAAAAATAAAAGAACAAGAAGAAGAGAAGAAAGAATGGAAAATAAAGAAGGGAAAAGAAAGAAAAAGAAAGGAAAAAAGGAAACAAGGAAAAAATGCAGAGACCAAATAAATAAGCCATGGGCACATGACCAATAAAGTGCTGTATAAAAAATCTCTCTAAGTGCGTTTTTTTTTAGCATTCCGGGAAGTTGTGTGTATCCATGGCGCGCATTAGGATGTCGTGTGGTCGATTGTATTTACGTATCAGAGGACAAAAAATATGATACTAGCAGTATAAGAAAAACGGAGTCCACGTGCTAACCACAGCCTTTTTTTTCCCTTCTTTTTTTGCTTTGTTTTTACTTTAACATTAGCATGTCGTGCGAATACAAATAATTGAAAGTGAAAAGTCGGCGGATTTTAATTTGCTTTGCCTTTTCTTGCATGGAATAAATTGAAACGCTTCGCCTATTTTTTTTTTTCTTTTGTTTTCCTTGCTTCCTTTATTTCTGGGTTTAAATTATTCAAGCACAGTTTTGCAAGTTGCGTTATTGATAACACAATTTTGTTCTGTTTTTTTTTTTGAGCATTGCAAGAAAAAAATAATAAACAAGGGACAACAGGTCCGCCCCATAATTAATATGGTACTATAGTCCTATCTGTTCTTGTTTTTTTTTTCACATGGTGTCTTAATGCTTCGGGCAGCGAGGGGATGAATAGCCTTAAATGCCTATTTGATAAAGGAGCTGCCCTTTTGTATGAAGCTGTGCTACCATATAGCAATTAAATGTGTAAGCACGTGAATAGTTGAGTGCGTTCAAGGTGTACAAAAAGTTCAGTTGTTGTATCAAGTTTTGGGGGGGTTTATGGTTTGAATAATATCACGCTTTAAGGCATTACAGTCTCTGTAGAAAATTTATAAATAAGAACACATACCGTACTATTATCAAAATGTAAAATGCACAATGAACTGTTATAGACGGAATTGGCAAAAGACACAGTTATCATAATAAGGGAATGAATAGGAAGAAAACGGTGTAGTGCACAGAAAAATGGATCATGAAAATTCAAATATTACAGGAAGTAATGGATTCAATATTTTTATATATATTTTACTAATTTTTGATTTACACATATGTACTACGGATGCAAAAAAGGAAGAATGGGACACACACAAAATTAGGTCTTACACGGAAATCATAGTGTACGTTATAAGAGCCTTGTGTAATTTTTCACAAATGAACGTCTTAATTGTTCTACGCGACACATACGATATTTTCATGAAATGTACGTAGCGTTCATAATATTGTGAATTTAGAAATATACAGGCCTTTTAATTAGAAAACACGTCTAAATATCATTATGGAAGTGTTCCTTCAAATTATAAGTATGATTATGGATGTTAAGGATATTGCAGACCGAAAGGAACTGTGCATTATATTATAATTGAGAAATAGAAGAAATGAATGTATATGAAATAAACATTCCATGTGTTTTACTTCGTTGATAAGGTTTCACGCGGGAAAAAAAAAATTCGGTGCACTTTTCACACTTTAAACCTTGAACCATGCGACGTATGTGTAGTGCTTTAGGCCTTCATCATACTACGCACCGTTGTGCACCTATTTTCGCCGACGTAGGAACAGTGAACGTGAACGAAATGCAAAATTCTACATTCAGAGAATAATGATCAGTGGCATTATTTGAATAAGGAAAAATGTGTTAAGGAGGAATTTCGGAAAGGCTGAAATAATAAAAACGGGGGGGAGGCTGATCCATGTTTTTATCCTTTATTAAGCAATATTACTTGGGTAATTGTTGAACATGGAACTGGTGTAGTCGCGTAATTCCAGTTGTATCTTCAATCCCGGAAAAAGGGGACCACTTCTTTTTTAAGTATCACTATTGTATTAAGTATATACTTACAATCGTTTGGGGAACTCCCTTAAAGTTATTCTGGGTTGCATTTCTTATATTTTTTTTTGTCCATTTTTGTTAATTACTCCGTTTGTTTTTTTGTTTTTGTGATAAACTGGAATTTTTTTTTTAAATTGTGTAATATGCCAGCTCGTCCTAATAATTATATTTTTTTAAGTATGCACGCGACAGGATTCATTTGATAATTCTTTTTTGTAGTAAAGGAACTTTTACACTGGATCACATTTATGTGATCATTGACTAAGTGAATTTTGCAAAAAGGAGGAAGCTTTATTTGTTGCTCGTTATGGCGCTTCCCCTATTTTTTTAAATTTTAGGTAATCTTATTTTTGTTCTATCCTCATATAATGGTCGAAAGGGAATCTCGCGATGAGGAAATATGCTTAAGAGGAACTCAGCTTGATGGGGCACCAATGCATGATTCATTTTTTAATAAAGATGGGTTACTATTAAGAAGCTACGGATGGTTAGTAAAAAACGCCATAGGCATTATAATACTAATTCATGGAATTAAATGTCATGCAAGGCTGAACTTTTTAAGACCTAATGTAGAGGTAATAAACGACGATAACGTTATAGTGAAGGATGAAAATAATTACTACATTTATAAAGATAGCTGGGTAGAATATTTTAATAAACATGGATATTCCGTTTTTGGGTTAGATTTACAAGGCCATGGTCTATCGGATGGCTTTGAGGGGCTCAGTCATAATGTAAGAGAGTTTGACGATTTCGCCTATGATGTAATGCAGTATATTAGGAACATTCAGCATAGCTTAAATAGGTGTAATGTTCATGATGAGGGGTGTAGATTGCCATTTCGAGAGGATAAGGTATATGAGACGAGGCATCTGCCCATTTACGTAGTCGGTTTTTCTCTCGGGGGGAGTATTGCTTTAAGGATGCTACAAATATTAGGGAAGTCACAAATAGAAAATACAGGACTAAACATCAGCGGGTGCATCTCCATCTCTCCGATGATAACTGTGGAGAAGCTACCATCAAAAAATTCCTTTTTATTTCAGCAAGTTTATCTCCCAATGTCGAAGTTCATTGCTGATTGGTTTCCCACGGTAAGACTTATTACCAAGTATCCATATAAAATGTATCCGTATGTTAAATATTTTATGGAGTATGATAAGATTCGGTCTAAGGAGGCCATCACGTGTAGATTTGGCTATGAACTTTTAAGAGCAATCGAGAACTTAGACAATGACATAGAATATATACCTGAGGATATCCCTGTGTTGATTATTCATTCGAAGAGGGATATTTTGTGCTGCTATAAAGGATCCCTATCGTTGTTCAATAGGCTTCATGTGAAAAATAAAGAAATGCACACATTAGAGGATATGGAACATATCGTCGTTTGGGAGCCCGGGAATGAAAAAGTTTCAGAGAAGATCATGGATTGGATTAAGAGTCTTGCGTCGTCCGAACTGGGCAACGCGTCTGAGATGAGCAACACATCTGAGGGAACGAGCAGGTCAGCGAGAGAGAAGTATCTGACGTAAGCAATTCGTCTGAGATGGTTAGCCTAAGAGGTGTTGCTCTCTGGGAAATGGAAGGCACACGTCTGTTTTTTTTGAAGGAATATGCATCCATTTGTTACTAAAGCAGAAAGGCATCCAGAATAACGCGAGTCTGCGTGTACACCTCCAGGGAGTGACATTCTGTGTGTGACTCATTTATTCTATTTTTTTTTTTTCCCTTCATTTGTGTTGACTAATGTTAATCATTTTATTGTGTATTACTCTTTTTTCTTATGATCATTTTAAGCTGTTCATTGTATGTATTTAAAAGGGTTATCTTCAGATTTGAACATTTATTTTTTTAGATAAGCGGAGCGCGCGCTTGCAATATGTATCAACCTATGCACACGCGTAATTGCACAAAATTAATGACTTGTTTTTGTGCATTTTGTAAGTCAGTTTTTGTTGCGCATTTTTGTTTTTTGTGTCTTGACAAGCATGAAATAACATGTAGAACAAAGAAACAAACAATGGAAGGAAGGTCACTTCAAAGGAATTACACACAACGCTTCATTTAATAGTCTTCATAAATGTACACTAGTACTGTGCTTTAGCCTTCTTTCTCGATCATAGGATCAAATAAGAAAAAAAAAAAAAAAAAAAGTAGAACACCATTTTGGTTAAATGTGCAAGCAAACACTTAGAAATGTTCTACCCCTTTACGACAAGGGTAATTGAGTGCAAGAATACATCGCGATGATTTTATGCCTCTATTAACGAAGAATACTAATAAAGAGGAAAGAAAAAAGGAAATAATATAATATGTATTCATTTATTCTCTTGTACTAATTTTGTTTCAATTTTATTTGATTCTTCGCTACACACCTACATATATGTGTAATAGTGTTGTTACAATGGTATAACTACCAGAGGTTTCTATTACTGTGAGTAGTAGAAACTGTGGCATCCGGCATTCAGTATTGCTTCCATCTTACAGTATGATATACCTATAACACATTATAATATCTATAACGTCATTTCTGTCATAAAAAGATAGAATAACGTTCTTCTTTTTTCTTTCCTTTTGGGAATAGCCTATGAGTACTATGTTATCATATAATATACCTTTTATTGTTTAAGGAAGTGTAAAAGACCTTACAAAAGCTTCCTGTGTCAGATGTAAATTATATTTTTTTGGATACAATTCATGCAGGCAACAAATCTGTCTACATCTTGCCATAAAACAGGGACTGGTGCGAGCTTTCATTCAAAACGATTCATTAGGGCACCTAGTATTCATTAGTAAATATTTGTAAACACGAGCGTTATATATACGTAACACTAGCGTAATACGTATATACTGCTGTAATTATTAATGGTGTATTATTTTAAAAAACAAAACAAAAAAAATAAAGAAAAGCCTCAAATCCTAAACCATGTAACTCTGACCCCAAGGCTCAGTCTCAGCAGTAAAGAACCCTTTTATAATATACCCTGGACCCTTAGCAGTATATTGACCCCAAGGCTCAGTCTCAGCAGTAAAGAACCCTTTTATAATATACCCTGGACCCTTAGCAGTATATCTTGAGCCCGTATGAATATAGAATTTGACTTCTGAGACAACTGGTTCTTCAAGAAGAGCTATACATTCGCCTTCTGTCTTAGTGGTGACTTCTTTCCATGAATCTCTAATGTCATGTAGGATGTTTTTGAATTCATCTCTGCTCAATTTTTCTTTTGCAGCCATACTGTAGAATACGTCATGTACATGCTCGCGTTGTTTTTTAAAGTTATTACCAACTATTCGTCCACATTCTTGCCATTTCTTCCTATATTTAACCATAGTTTCCATAGTTTGATTGTTTTTTAATTCTAGAAATTTCTTGAACAAACGTTTTTTAGCATCAATATATTTAAATCTTTCATTTATGAATGATTGCCAGTATAGAGACAGTAATT